CCGTCCCTCCCCTATTTCCCCCCAACTGACCCCAGTGTGTAGTACTCCCCTCCCTGTGTCCATGTGTTCTCATTGTTCAACACCCGCCTATGAGTAAGAACATGCGTTTTCTAATCCACACTCCTTTTCCCACCCCACACATCCTTGCCTTGACCTGGGACAGAAATGAAATGGGCTTTCAAATGGATGTAGGGCCACCTCCATACCAGGAAGTGCAGTATTTCTGTAACCCACTGTACAGGAGCTCCCTTAAGCCTCACATCAACTCTCAAGGCAGGTCTCAATATCTCTACAATGGAGATGAGTTAACCAAAACTATGAGAAGCTACACAAGTTGCCTGAGATCACACAGTTGAGAGCTGGCAGTTCCAAATTTGAGCCCTGGTCTGTTGAATAAATATGCGGGGCCCATTTGAGCCCTGGTCTGTTGGGTTCAAAGCTAAAACATGCCCAGGAATGTTCGTGGCACCAGGGCCCCCCACTGGCCAGTCCCATCAGGATTCTCCATCCTGTGGGGGTGTGGGGCATCGAGACATGGGCGCTGCTGCACTCTGCATGCCTTCCTGTGGGCAACACAAATGGCTTGTTTTATAGCCGTGGCTGCGACAGCAGCTTCAGGCGCCTTTGCCTCGCAGGATTGACATCAATCCTCATTCAAATCAAACTCCTTCTGAAACATGCTCCAGTGGAGTGGAATTTTCTGCTAAATAAGGTGTTATTAACCCAGCTCCCAGTTCCTTGGGCCCGGGCTGAGCTCAGCAGTGGCGGCAGCCGCTCCGCACTGATGAACCCACTTAAACACCGATTAATACACACTGCGGCACTGGCCCTCGCAGACCCTGTGACCCCCGGGGCTCCTCGGAGACCCTCAGGCTGCAGCGCCCGGAACTCAGTCGCATCTCCTCTTTCATTCCAGCCCAGTCGCCCAGTAGTGATTGGATGCTTTGTGGTCTGAGGATGAGGAGATAGAAGTGGGAGATAAAAAAGCGTTGTTTTTTTTTTTTCCTTTTTGCAGCTTCTTTCTTACCAGGCTTCAGTTTCCAGAGCTTCTCAGGATGGAAAAAACAAAGAACAGGCCCCATGAGGGAGGAAGAGGCATAGCTCTGGGCTCCACCAGTGCTGTCAGCGGCACACTTGGATAATGGAAGGTTCTGCAACAATGCAGGCATGAGAAGTCGTCCGCACTTTAGGAAAGGATTGGCTCTCAACCAAATGCCATTCTAGTTCTAGTGCAGCTCAAAACAGGCTCTGACACCCCAAATCCAATCATTTTAACTGCATACAAGTTCAGTTTATATAATTCTCAGAGTTTCAGCTCTTACAGCTGAAAGAGCCCCAGAGAGTCCCTGGTCCAAGCTCATTTTACAGCTGAGAAAACTCAGGACCAGAGAGGGAAAAGGTCATGCCCAAGGTCGCACAGCTGGTAAGCAGCAAAGCCAAGGCTTATACCCAGGCTTCACAACTCCCCACGCAATGCTCTTTCTGCCATCCTGTTTCTCTTCCTTCCAACGATACAAAAGCATCACTGATAGCCAGAAAGTAATAACCACATTTAATATGATCTCCCAGTCTACATATTGCAATGGATATCAAATTGTTCTTAAGTGATATGTGATTAAGTAAGATCAGAGAATATAAAAGTGGATTTCTGAAGGATGATAAATAAAAGTACACCACATTTATTCATGTCTTTTAGACACCAGCTTACTGGGCGAGCATCTGGCATGCCTCAGGCTGGGTGTGGGTTCTAGAGGGGTGAATGAATAGGAGCTGGTCTCTAGCCTCACTGAGCTTATAGTCTAGTGGTGAGGGGAACAGAAGAACAGGCTCACATGCATGCACACACCACACATGAACACACACACAATTGCAAATGGTGCTGAGCAGATCAGTGCTATGAAGAAATAGGTGAGGGGTCCAGCAGAAAACCAGAGGGCCGATTTCTGTTTGTAGGGTCACAGAAAGGTTCCATGGGGAGGTGATGTAAAAACTGAGACCCGAAGGATGGGAAAAGGCCGACTGCACAAGAAGGTGAGGAGAGGTGATCCAAGCAGAAGGAATCAGACTTGGACTTCTCATCACAAACAACAAAGTGAAAATATTTTAAAATTAATAGAAGCCTATTATTTTAGAGACAGGAAAGCTATTTCATTTTCTCCCCTAATTGCTCTGCTTCTTGGAAATGGTGTTTATTGATCAGACTTTTTGCAGTTTGTCTGTATTTTTGTGCTGTTTCCTCAATTTGTGACTAAGAAGGGCCCTTTCGGATGTTTGAGAAGACTTCATTTCTCTTCCCAATCTCAAAACGATGGTGAGTGGAGTTGTTTCACACACAGGCTCCATCTCTTCTTAGCCGTGGGAGATTGCGAAAGGCACTTCTTCTGTGAGCCTCAGTTTCTTCATCTGTATAATTGAGGATAACAAAAGCACAATATCAGAGAGCTGTGGTGTGGCTTAATTGAAATCATGTCTGTGAAGAACTTAGCACAGTGGAATTGGAACGTTGAAATTGTTCGATAAATGTTAGCCATTTGTTATGACTGTAAGCTACATGTATTCAGATTGAATTCCCTTGTTTTATAAAAGTGTTGGTGACATTTTCTTCCAACTTTCTTTCCATGCACATTGCAGCAAGAGCAGATCAGATCCCTTTGCAACTGTGACCAGGGGTCTGTGCTAAGAACCAGATGAAGCCTGGTAGGTGGGGCAGACTTAGGTGGGGGATCGGGAGGGCCTCACACCTGGGGCCAGAGATGAGATCTTTTAAACTGGGGCCATTATTCCTCAGGGCAGAATCCCAGGGAAGGTGTCAGCCTTGGGAGAGATTACAGAATAAGGCAGAAGGAAAAACTCAACAGAGGGAGGCCAGAGACAGGCTGGCAGAGGCCACAGTTGCTGAGTTGGGCTTCTCAGGACTCTAGTACAAACAAGTAGAGACCAGAAGATTCTAGCCATCAGTGGGAAATCTAAACAGGACCTTATTCAGGACCAGGGGTGAGTACCAAGGGGCCTGGGAGGCTGGGAGCTAGCTGCCAGGGGGTCCCTTTGAGGGTGGTATCTCTACACATCAAAGAATTTGGTCAGAACTTTTCCTGGTCTACACACCTGGAAGGCTTTTCCATCTGTATCTGAAGAAACAATCGTATTTGACAAGCAGACATGGGGTTCAGCCAGAAGATCCCCAAAGACATTCACTTGGTCAGACGTTTTGATCTGCTTCCCGCATTGAATGATGCTTGGCTTTTATCTTCTCTCCCTCTGGCTCCCCAGTTTGGTCCATAGCATCTCTCAAGCCATGTCTGGGACCCACCCTAACTGCCTTCCAATATCTTGCCTCTTGGACCACAGACCACACTCTAGGACTGCCAAAAACATTGGCAGTTACCATCCCTCCTTCCCTGGCAGTACCCACATCCAGGCTGAAATGCTCCAACTCATTTGAGCTGCTCTCTCGAAGCCAAATGCAAGAAAGACTTTCTTCATTAACTAGCTGGCCTGATTAGCACTTATTAGGGATTCCCCCCAACTCTCTTGGTCTCCCCCCCCCCACATACCTACTAACCCCTGAGGGATCTCCACCAAGCTCTGGAGTTCCTTGGAACACCATTTGAGAATTGTCTTGATCTAATGTCGCCACTCTACCCTTAGGGAAACTAAGTCCTCCAGTCATAGTCTCAGCCTTAGCCAGCCTAGACTCCATGGTCAATCCTTGCTCGAAGTTCACACATGACAAGAACAGAGGGCCAACTAGGGAGGCCTCCACCTTCATGCAGGGCTGCCCACCTTCTTTCTGCTTCTGCCTCCCCAAATCCAAAAGCTAGATTTCCTCACGGCCCTGCGTGTAGATGAGCTAGCATACAGGTCAATTCTGCAGTCAGATTCACATTCAGCCTTAGCATATCAGCTGGGAGACTCAACAATGAATCACCATGCTGGTTGATTTCCGCTTCCCCCCAGACCAACTCTGTTTCCTTTTCTAATCTGCTCCATGACTCAGGAATTTGACCCCACTTCTGGGTTCAGCCAATGGGAGTCACTGGCAGGGCAGAAGGAGAGGTTGGGTCATTTCTTCTCCAGCCCCTTCTTGCTTTGGCACCATGCTTCTGGCAGTAGCTACACCCCTCTGTGGCTAACAGCTCTCTCCAGAGCTCCTCTCTGGCTCCAGCCCTCGTTGGGCGCTTTTTCTCTTTAATCCTCAGAGTAGAACAACTCTCTGCTGCTGTGACTCTCTGGGCGATCATCTGTTGATTCTCTTTATTCTGCCTACATCTCTATAAGTAGTTCCTCCATTTACCTTTCTTCATTTGCCATCTTGGTGGGTATTCTGTTTCTTGCCAGGCATTGAATGATACAATCACTTTCTTCAGACTCAAGGTTCAAAGGCCTAGCCATGGTGGCTGACATTAAGCTGTCTGTCTAAGTCTCATGCTGTACCCCCAGAGGTAAGATTGTCTACAAGACCTTGGGCCTGGGTCTCTTTGACATATAGGCTCCCTTGCCCTATCTCTGGCAGCCCTGTCACTTCCCAGCCCTGGCCTTGTCCTGGTGAGAGGCTTTGCTCTGGCCTCTTCTCATGTTGTCAAGTCCAGAGCCAGCCTCATGTCCCTGTGATCTGGCCTCCAAGCCTCCCTCTGCTCAGACACACTCCCTCTTATGAACTTGCCATACCCTTTGGTGGCCCTACCCATGGACTCTTCAAGCAGTGCCCGAGGGCATTTCCAAGAAGGTATTCCCTCTGGCTATCTTAGCTGTCTGCCCTTCCCAAGCATTCTGGGCCTTGCTCAGTGACCAGAGATGCACCTGCCTAAGGTCTTTCTGATCTCTTCAGCACATTCTGGGGCAGGGTGCTGGCTAGGCTTCCCTTAGCCTGAGTCACTCCCTGACTTACTCACTCAGAGAGTCTCTGAGCATCTCCTGTGTACCAGGCCTGGCCTTACGTGTCACACAGGGTTCCAGAGTCCATCAGACTAGGCCCTCTGCCCTCAGGAAGCTCACAGTCAAGAGAAGAAAGGTCTAAAACACATCATTACCTTGGAGAATGACAAGCACCCTAAAGTTCAATGCGTGCAGGCTGGTGAGTGCTAAAACTCATCCGGAAAGTTTAGAGAAAGCTTCCTTGGGGAGGCGACATCTCTGCTGAGGCTCAAAGATCTAGTAGAGTGCGCACAGTGGTAGGTGGCAGATGAAATGCTCCAGAAGTGGCTAATAAGAGGAGACTGGTGACATCTCAGCTCTTGAGGGCAGAGTAGGCAATCTGATCAAGGTGGCTCTCAGGTCATTCACGTGGGTGGAGGTGCCAGCCTCTGAGAGAAGGAACACAGAAGGAGGAGCGGGTGTGGGGAGCAGCTAGGGGTGGGAGCGGCAATGGTGAACTCAGTTCTGAGGTGCCTAGGGAATGTCCGCTTGGGGATACCCAGTACCTGGAGGGACTTGGAACACAAGGAAAGAGATGGGAGTCAAAACCTCCAAGTGAAAGCCAAGGTGGGGAATAAAACATGCTGCTGAGAGAGGAAGGAAGGCTAAGCACAGAGCTGACAGACACTAACATTTAAGAAAGAATGTTCTGGAAAGAATGGGAAGGGGTGGTAAGGGAAGTGGGAGGAAAACCAGGAGAGGTTGCTGTATGGAAACCAAGGGAAGAAGGGTCTCAGGAGGGGGTGATCAGCATGGAAGGGTGACCAGCACAGAAGGCTTATGCAATATGGAATCACAATGGGCTCTGCAGGATGGATTTGGATCCTGGCTCCTCCACTTGTCCTGTAGATAACCTTGGATGGTAGTTCAAGTGGGAGCCTCAGTTCCCACTATGTAAAAGCAAGCAATGATGGTACCTACCTTTTATCGTGGTTCCATTCATGTGACTGTGTTGTGACACACCGAACCCAGTGCATGCCACACTTGACATGTTCAACAGACAGTAGCTATGCCTCTGAGAATTAATTCACTCAGAGGACTGAGGTGCATGCATGAAATGATCCTTCCTACGGAATATGCTGAACTAAGATGAGATCTAGTCTCCAAGAGAAGATTACATCAATCACTGAATCTATGGGAACAAGTGCCAAGTGGCATAAAAAGGAGCCAGAGAGAGGCTGCAAGCATCCTTGAGAGGCAAAATCCCTGCTTTTGTCACCATGGTTGGTGCTTGGAAAGCTGCAGGCACAGAAGCTGGCCGTGGAGGAGAGACCTGTGAGCCAAGCATGGAAGAACATCCAGGAGGAAGGAACAGCCTGAGCAAAGGCCCAGAGGGAGGAACCTGTACCTTCATGGAAGATTCTCAGGGCTCCCCGCTGCCCTCTGGTGCCAAGCTCAAGGGTAAATGGCTCCGTGTCTGGGCGACAAATTCACAACGGCTGCTGCTCCCAGCCCTGTACTCCACGTCACCAACACGGGGACATGATCATTAGGTGATTATATTTTTAAGGCCCAAATTGTTTTATTTGTTTCCTTGCCAGCTTTCATGAGGCCATCAGTCATTCCCCACACAGATAACATTTCTTATGTACATTGACAGAATAAATTACATGGTTCTCATCCGGCAAATCAACATTACAGGGGAACATTATCTTTTGCAAAATGCTGCCTGGGCACATCATAAATCCTAACCAGGTTTATTACATCTGTCTTGTCATAGATTCATTTTATTGAGAAGTGGGTTTTTTTTTCCAGATTAATAATCACATTAATAAAAGAGATTCTTTTTAGAGGATTCTTTTCTTGGAGAAACCAAAGGAAGAATTTCACAGCTGCAGAGCATGGCCACACTAGTGCCTGGTGCTGTAAGACTGTCCTTGTCTGGCCAGGCGTGGTGGCTTACGCCTATAATCCTAGAACTTTGGGAGGCCGAGGCGGGTGGATCACGAGGTCAAGAGATTGAGACCATCCTGGTCAACAAGGTGAAACCCCGTCCCCACTAAAAATACAAAAATTAGCTGGGCATGGTGGTGAGCGCCTGTAGTCCCAGCTACTCGGGAGGCTGAGGCAGGAGAATTGCTTGAACCCAGGAGGCAGAGGCTACAGTGAACCGAGATCATGCCATTGCACTCCAGTCTAGGTAACAACAGCAAAACTCCGTCTCAAAAAAAAAAAAAAAGACTGTCCTTGTCATGCTAACAGTATCCTCCAGAACTGGGAACTGGGAGCCCCTGACTCACTGGGGACTTTGGGCCGGCTCATGATCCCTTCTTTGCCTCTTATTTCAGAGCCTTTTCCCAAGAATATATCCAGAAGTTTCCAAGATGGTATCAAAGATGTATTGTGATATTAAACCAATCAAATGAATATTTAATGAGTAACTAATACGTGTGCAACTGACAGACCAATGGAGGAAAAAACATGGAACCCACTTGGAACAAGAAGAGAATAATTCAGGACAGAATCCTCCGAGTTGGGCTCCCTTCCTGTCTGCTTCCCTGTCTGCCTACTCAAACACCCAAGGTAGGTGACCTGCTAGCTCTGAGATTCTTTCTCCTCTTTTTGTTAAGTGAGAAGATTGGTCTAGATTAGGGGCTGGAAAACTATGGCCCATGGGCCAAAACAAGCCCATCACCTGTTTTAGTAAATGAGGCTTTACTGGATCATAGCCTCTCCCATTTGTATATTGTCTATGGCTGATTTTGCACAAAGGCAGAGCTGAGTAGCTGCAACAGAGACCTTCTACCCTGTATGGCCTGAAATATTTACTCTCTGGCTCCCTATAGAAGAAGTTTGCTGGCCTCTGGTCTAAATAAACTCCACATGAACAATTTGCAGCCAAGTTGTGGGATCTGTGCTGAAGTGCTCATAACATTGATTGAGTCCATTGTGCTAAATTCTTTTCTTGCATTATCTTATTTAATTCTGATTCTATTCCACAGATGAGGAAACTGAGGCTTCAAGTGATCCAGGGACTCTTCTAAAATCACCAAGAGGCAGAGGCAGGCGGTGTCAAGCTAGGAACTCAGGCCTGTCCGGTGCCAAAACCTTTCTTACCTTTCCACGAAATGGCCTGAGTACCATGGAGAGGTTAACTAGTGGGGTGGGGAGACATGTGGAAACTTCTCAGGGGACTTCAAATTTGGCACTTAAGATGTAGAAGGATGGAGAGAAAAGGGGAGGAACTCCTGGCAGTGAGAGCCCAGGAGAAGAGGAGGGGACTGCTATGCATTACAGGGCTGGGCCCTGCTGTATTGGTGAGAGAATGACTTCCACCTACAGCTGCCTTAATGGGCATGGCCCTATTTAAGCCTTACAGATCAACTCCAAGGCGGGTACTTCTATAGTCTCCACTCAACAGATGGAGGAAAGCCCAGAGAGGTAAGCGCTAGCCCAAAGTCACACAGCAGGTGAGTCGTATTTCCTCTTCACTCATGTGGCTTCGACAAGTTCTTTGCACAATGTCAGACAGTCTCACCTGGAGTAAGAGAGAGAGCTGGTGGGACACTTTAGGGATTTTTTAAAAAGTGAGATCACTTCAGCCATGGGGCTGTTAAATGGGGGTAAAATAGTTAAAGAGTAGTACTTTCCGCAGTACATATTATCAGGAATGATGGGAAAACAAAGCAAAGCTAAAGTGAAGAAATGTAACATGTCTGGTTCAGAGTTTAGCACAGAGCCTCTCGCAGGGTGGGTTCTGGGAGATGTGTTGTTCCCTCTTTTTTTTTTGAGACAGAGTCTTTCTCTGTTGCCCAGGCTAGAGTGCAATGGCACAATCTCAGCTCACTGCAATCTCCACCTCTCTGGTTCAAGAGATTCTCCTGCCTCAACCTCCCAAGTAGCTGGGATCACAAGCGCCCACCACCATGCCTGGCTAATTTTTGTATTTTTAGTAGAGACGGGGTCTCACCATGTTGGCCAGACTCCTAGTTTTTTAAGGACAATCACCAAAGTCCAACCAACCTGCCTCATGAGACCAAGACTGAGACGGCATCTGTTAGGCTCTGATGTCTGACAAAGGCAAGAAACTCAGCTTCACAACCTACTGACAATGTAACCGAGGAATGCTCCATCATCTTGCACCTCAGTTTGCTCACCTGAAAAATGGGTGATAATAAAACTGATGTCATAGAGTTGTTTTAGGGACACTGAATGAGGGAAAGCACAAAAAGATGGCTGGCATAGGGCCTGGCCCACGTGAGCTTGGTGAATGTTAGTGAATGTGAGGATGGTGATGACAATCCCCAAGAAGCTGCCTGGGAAGGAGATGCCCCCCGTCCCTGGCCTCTCAGCAGGGAGTGGGTTGCTGATGAGTCAGGTCTGAGCATGTTAATGTGCAAAGTCTCTCTCTCCCTGCTTTTTTTTCTTTTTAGCACGAAAATCTCTCCTAGCACCTCTCATTATCCACTTCATCAGTCTGAAACCATCGGCTAATTGCACTCCCCAGCAGCCCCTCCCTCCCTGCCTCTTCAACAAGCT